GGACTTTAACAGTTTACAGCAGTTTACCTGGTATGTTCACGTGATATTGTTGCAATTACATAGTGAATGAAGTGAACAGAAAGAGTGAAATTGTGTCAGAAAGGCTATTACTGCTGTCTAACCCTGCCGCTTGCTATCCATGGTGCTGAAAACGGATGCGTAACGGCGCATTTGACTGAATTGATTGATTGACGTGCGTAGTTAAGTGTTTGTGTCCATAGTTACTTGCGCTAGCGGGATGTGAGTGAGGCTGCATTTGAAAAAGTTCAAATTTTCCTAACCACACAGAAAAGCTACATAGCAGACTTGTCACTTTTGTTATGATTATTTGCTGGGCATGTATATTGATTGATACTGTAGTTAAGTCATGTGACTAGTAACCTTGCCATACCTTAGCTTTGGCTGAATTGACGCCACTGAGATAGTGGCCAACCCCTCCCACCCTGGACACAAACTGTTCACCCCCCTCCCCTCTGGCAGGAGGCTGCGCTCTATCAGGACCAAAACCTCTCTCCACCTGAACAGTTTCTTCCCCTCCGCAACCGGCCTCTTAAACAAGGCCCGGCCCTCCGACTGACACTTTACCTCAGCCACATCATAGACTCTATATGCATTACATTAATGCACAACAATATTTTGTATTACAGCTGATTTGTATTCCATATGTTATTCCTCTAGTCTATTCCATTCCATTGCAATGCACTGTTATATTTTACTATATCTTTTTTATTATTTGTAATATTTTTCTAGTTCTCCACCTGTGTTTTTAATTCTTGTTTTTATGCATCACGACACCAAGTCAAATTCCTTGTAGGTGTAAACCTACCTGGTAATAAACCTGTTTCTGATTGTGACATAATGCTCTACAGCTCTGAACGAGAAATGCTCCCTAGTTTAAGGGTTAGCTGCTTACGTGTTTCTTTCTCTGTGGGCCGAAGCTCTCTTGCAGTTTTCTTTATGTTACCTTTACTGTTTAGTTCAATGTTATTTGTGAGCACATGTTCATAAAAGTAAAGAGGTTCAAACCGAATGTCTATGGCCATGTTATCTTTGCTAAATCAGAACCCGAGTCACTGAAGAGCCTCCCTGTTTCAGATAATAAAGCAACAAAACAACCGCTTCATAGAATTTCCTTTATTGATGAATGAGAATAAAAGTTCACTTGCATTTCTTTTACATTACAGGCTTCATAAATCTAACTGAGATTATTATGAGTGCATATCATTTAAATAAATTAAAAGACTAGACACTGTTATATGCCCAGTAGCAAATTATGTCTGAATAAAACTTAAAATGTAAGTTAGAACATTAAAAAGAAAAAGACAGTGCAACCATTTCTGTTCGGAGGAACCTAATGCACTTTAAAAAAGTTGTAAATATGGAGATGAATATGTACCAAAATAGCAAGGCACCATTAAACTGTATGTGCTGCACATTTCAATGTCTGTACTTCTGATGCAATCAGCTCGAGATATGTCTTAATGACATGGCATTCATTATCACTTACAGACAGGTCTGGATATGGCAACCTCTACATGCAAAATATATTTAAATATCTCAAAGAAAATAAAATCTCTTGAAAGCAAACTGACCCCAAACTCCTTCACACTTCCTGTTCTTGGATGTGGGTCTTGAATGAGGTACTGATAGCTCGGAGTGAGTGTTTACCACTGGCTTTGGATGCTTTAAGGGTTAACCTGCAGCTTGTGGCATTATAATAATAAACCTGATTCTGTACCATGCAACAGGAATGCATTCTGAACCGAGTCCATTCCAAGGAAAAAAAAATAATCCCACATTACTGTATGAAAGAAAACATGATTTAAAGGGGCCCTATTCTGCAAATGTTCTGGTTCATATTTGTCTGTAGTGTCTCTCCTGGGACATGTCTCCATGCTTTAATGTTCAAAAAGCTCTTTATTTTTCTCATACTGCCTGTGCTGCAGCACCTCTTTTCACCCTCTGTCTGAAACCAGAGCCCAGTCTGCTCTGATTGGTTAGCTGGCCAGCTCTGTTGTGATTGGTCAACAGCTTTCGAGATAATAGGGCATTTTTAAATAAGATATCTTTCTTTCATGTACTGTACAAGGTGGGAGAAGCCATATGCAATACAAAGGTACATTAGTTTTAGTGTATCCGTTTCCAAACTAAAACTAAGTGCTATTACTTAAACACATTTTCTGACAAAACATCAAAACAAAAAATGAAATTCAAAATATTTCAATCCATCAGCCAGAAAACCAACTCAGCGCTCAGGATTGATATGAATGTTGGCTGTGTGCGTTCACAGGTGCTGTGTACATGCGTGTGCATGCTTTGAACATGGTCGCAAAAATGAATTCCAAATATTTGGCAGGATCACTGGCCTTTCTCTCTTTTCTCTTGTACTCATAACTAACAAGATGTATTTGTCAGTTACACCTGTCAGGTGTTTTGGCACATTTTAGTCTATTTACTACAAATGACATGCTGTGATTCAGAAATGTTGTGGACGTCTGATGAAGTTGTAGATAGTATGATGCAACTCAGTTTCCAAACGTTTTAAACTTGCTTGACTGAACTTGCTTCAAGTCATTACTGGTACAATTAAATTACTGTTGTGATGCCAGTGAGTGGGCTTGTTAGGGTTTTATTGTCCCATTTCTTCTTCATTTGGCATTAACATCCACTCGGACTCAAGCGTGATCTGATGAGATTTTGGTTACAAGATCAAAGGTCACTGTGACCTCACAAGACACGTTTTTGGAAAACAATTGAAATGTTAATTATGATAACTTTATACAAATGTGTAATAGGGTAACATTGTGTTTTGATAATGTAAAGTGATGACGTTTTGGACAGACATGTCAAATGCAACTTTACTGGTTGGTGGAGGCATAGAATGCTAAGGTCATTTTATCTTATGGTTTAAAATACAAAAAGTACACTGTGGATTGGGGTTTTAAGGACAGTAATTCATCTGAATGAACTTCAAGAGGTCATCTGTTTTTTTCTAAAAGGGACAGAATTAAGTATTAAGGGAATAAAATACAAGACCCGAGATTAAAACTTTTTTAAAGGTGAGGTAACATTCATTTTAGTTTGGATGCCTTCATGTGATTGTGTGGGCACATTTGAGTATTCAGTCCCTTTCTTTTCTCAATTTGTATACAAAAGTTGTTTTCCATAACTTCATGTTGTCCATGCCTTCTTACTTAAAGTGTAAAATGCACATTGCTAGCCTCAGTCCATCTGACTGAAATCCTGCTGCGCTCATGCTCCGTCCCAAGGTCACATATCAACCAATCACCTCTGAGGAGTGTAGTTGCTCTCAGATTCCTGTTTCCTGGTCTTCATCTTTTTTTCAGATTCACACTTTAAAACTCATGCAATGATTTATGATCAGCCTGTATGAAAATACTGTGACTCTTATCAAATGGATCCACATGATAACTAACAACAAACGTCCCCCCCCCCCTTCCCAAAAAGATATAAACCGTCTCTGTGATGTGTGTGCCTTCTGAGCATGGAGGCAAGTTTATTTTAGCCGCACATGTGGCGTGTTTTGCAATTCGGTGTTGGCAGCAGAGAGAGGGGAGGTGTGAGCGCTGGCCGGGCCCCGGGGTCCGGCCCCCCCTCTGCTGTCTGTCCTCAGTAGCTCCGACGAGTAGGTTTGGGCCTCATTGGTCCCCAGTGACAGGAAGTCAAATCCCTGGAGATCCAGGTCCCTGTCGCTGATGAAGAGGTCCTCCTCCCCCCATCCTCCTCCACCACTCCTGCTTACACCCCCCCTTCCCCCGGGGTCTTTAATGTTGAAGCCGATGGGAGAGTCACTGCTCGTACTGGGGCTTGGAGACGAGAGGCTGTGGCTGAGTAGGGGGTCCTGGAGGGTTCCTGGGGCCGCCTGCATCAGGTCCTGAACAGAAAGGGACTTGCCCAGGCCTGGGGTCACCTGGCTGGGCCCGGAGCAGCAGCCGGGGGCCAGGGGCTGCAGCTCCAGGCTCATGTGCCTCCTCCAGGACCCCTCCTCCTTCAGATCCAACCGCCCGTTGCTGCCCTGTAGCTTCTGCCCCAAACTGCCCAGCCCCCGCCCGGGGCTCTCCTTACCACCGCTATCCTCTATCTGCATCCCTAAACCTCCACAAAAGTCCTCAATGTCAGGGGACACTTCTGTGGAAGGGGCTCGTGGCAGGTGGCTCGGGCCCCCACTCCTGCTGGGAGGGGGCGGTGGAAGCCTAGCAAGAAGAGGAAACCCTCCGTCTCCAATTCCACTGCTGACACTATTTGGGGTGAGGATGGGTGGAGAGCTCCCCACAGCCTCGTCAGTGCCACTCTCGGGCGTAGTGACCTGGGTGGGATGGTGCCGGGGGTAATGAGGGTGGCGATGGCGGTGATAGTGGGGATGGGGCAGCGGAGACGGGCTGAAGGAGGAGGAGGCCAGGCCGGTGGAGGAGGAGGAGGAGGCGTTGAGGCTGAGCTCATTGGGCGGGGCCAGGATGAGGTGGAGTCCTCCCTGGGAGAGGTGGGAGGTGGTGGAGGAGCGGACGGAGGGAGGGGCTCCGCTGACCTGGGGGGAGCTGGAGAGGTCTTTGCTGAAGACAGAGGAGTGGTAGTCAGAGGTCTGTTCCAGCTCGAACAGCGGCAGGGAGGAGAGCGTGAGGGCGGAGGACGAGCCTTTACGCAGAACCTGCCGGTAAATGTCCAGCAGGGAGTCCAGCTTCGACTCAATCGATGTCACCTGGTAAGGAAGGAAAGGGAGTTAGGATTTACATACTTGTTTTAGGCGGAGGTCCATACTATTTCTACACAAATGGTAGAATGGTACTGTCTAGTGCAGACCTCGCCAATGCCATGCTCTATCCTGCATAGTTAGCTAAAGTAAAAATTGAATTGTCGGCCCAGTAGTTTGGATCCTCTCCCCATTGTAAGGGGTTCCTCCCATGGATCGGTTATTCATTCGCCAAGGCTATACCCTTCCACAAAGTTCTGTGGTCGTTCTCTAATCCGGGCCAGAAGGTTCCCTGCTGACAAACAGACCACTCCCGTTGTATAGATGCAACTGTGATGTCACCATGTATGTTGCTGTAACACGTCTTACTTGTTATTAACCCAAACCATTCAGATCTGTGCAAAACAGGGCACTCAGGAGGCGGAGAGCTTTTAAAGAATTGAACGTTGTTCTAAAAACGTTTCTGTCTACAACTCTTTCATGCCTTTTCCCCTTTCCATTTACTCTGGCACTATTATTGCATTTGTAGATACATCATAGGCAAACCCCACTATAGCTAAATGGTCTGCATGAAAGGATTGACAGGACTGATACACAGGCCTTTTTATTCTTCTGGAGGAAGATATCTTGTATTACTGTAAATGATGACTTTAACACTAGAACCGCCAGAGGTCGCTGTATACCTAAAAACCGCCCAAGGGTCAAATGTTCTTTTATTTATCATACAGAAAAGTGAGTTTTGATCGCACAGGGATGGAATTTATACCAATAGAATCTGTGGACTCTCAGCTTTTCATATGATATAGTTTGTGCAGATAGCATGAAGTATAAAATATCGCTAACACTGCTGATTTAAACGCTTGGTGTTAGACTTGTGTTTTGTTTAGGTACAAATCTCTCTATCTATCTGTCTATCTCTCTCTATCTCTCTATCTCTCTATATTACCCGCTGACGCTGATGGGTAGGCCTATAAATAGCATTTGTTTTGGCGATTTTTTGGGCGATTTTTTCAATCTGATTTCATATTGACAATTTTTAACAACAGAGGGAGCTACATAACACACTTTCAGGAAAAGTCATGGACTGGGAGACTTGAATATTTTATTGAAAAAAATTACATAGGTTAGAATAAAAAAACAGCTGCTTGTCAAATTGACCAGTTGGCGGTTCTAGTGTTAAAAGCTGTTGTCAGGCGTAAGCCTATTTATGTTATTTTCACAGAGCCCGCCTTTCTGCTAAGCTAGGCTAATGTTTCACTGAAAGTACAAATGTCTGATCCAGGAGTTCACTTTCACTTTGCAGACTCATGCCGGATGCAGCAGAACATTAGAAGGCTGCTTGCAGTACCACATTCATTAGAGCAAGAAAAGAGAAACTGAAAGGGACCGGCTTTACCTTTTGAAACCCCATCAAATGTCATTGTCATGTGCATGCTGCTCAGTTCACTGGTCATTACCTACAGTTATACAGTTACTTTATACACCAACTTAAAGAACACAGACCTGCCGCTCCACTTTACAGACTCGACCCAGCATGCTCATGTCCTCCAGAATATCTCCATCAGACAGCAGCTTCTCCCGAATCTTCTTATCCAGAGGGATCTGACCCTTCCCCAGGATCTGATCCACTCTGGAAGACACAAACAAATGCACACACACAAACACACATGAACACATGCTAACTCACTAGATATTTATAACAGAAAGAAAAGTAGAAGTAGAAATCCACCAGGCAGCCCAAAGAGAAGAGGAAAGGTTAAAACGGCAACAGTATAATCGATTACCATGAGCACATTTTATTTTCCAACAAATACAAGTCCCTGTGTTAATGAAAAGGGTTACATTCAACAGAGGGCAGGGATAAGCCAAGGCAAAGTCATGCAATCATAACCCACCAACAAATTGGAAAAATAAGCCATTAAGACTTTGAGAAGATCTTCCATCGTCATATCGAGTGTGCTTTCTGGAAAGTGTGTTTTTCCACTTGTTATCCTCTTATGTAACACATTTATAAAAATGTTCAATCGAATATTTGTGATTAGCCAAATCTTACTTCCATGTTACTTTAACACACATTTTTATCTTATGCTTAGGTATATGCTCATTTGTAAATGCTTTTATCCCCTACTGTTGTATAGGAGATGGGGACATTGACATTATAAAATCTCCACCCCACATGTGGTCATGTGATGACAACAGAGCGATCACCATGACAACTGAACAGAAGTCCTTGAAGGACTGTGAGATGTGTTAGAAAACTTCAATCTTCAATCCAAGCACAGACGAGGAGCGCCTTGTGCAAATGTCAAACTGTTTTAAATAGTAAGGTCTTAGTTCAAATACATGTGTTTAGGAAGAGAATAGAGGTGGATTATGCTGCACAAGTGAGTTTGTAAACCTACTTATATTTACGCTTAGATATTAATTCAAGAGGATTTAGTCTAATACATGTCGATAGTTTCTCAGTCTGTTCTCTAGTTGTGATCAGAATCTGAACGCATGCAGCACTTTGAGTCCCCAGCAGTAGGGGGCAGTATTACTGCAGCAGGGGCAGGTAGGGTTTCCTTTAGATCAGGGGTGTCAAACTCAATTTCAACACGGGCCACATTAGCATCATGGTTGCACTCAAAGGGCCAGTTTAATCAATCAATCAATCAATCAATCAATCAATCAATCAATCTATCAATCAATCAATCAATGTTTATTTATATAGCCCAATATCACAAATGTTACATTTGTCTCAGTGGACTTCACAGTTTGTACAGAATATCAGTATGATAATACGACACCCTCTGTCCTTAGACCCTCACATCAAATCACATTTATATATAAGACTATATAAGAATAAATATATAAATATTTAATATATATAGAACTCTAGGGCAAACAATTGCAAGTCTCTTCAGTGTGCATGTCACAAAATGATTTAAAAAGAAAAGCCACATTCTGGAAAAACAAAAAAAAATAAGTGACATTTTGAAAAAAAAGTCAAATTCTGAGAAAAAAGTCTAATTTGAGATGCATTGTGGGACATGTAGTTTATGGGCAATGTGCTCCTGTAAAGCGGAATGTAACCGTATAATAAATTATTATATATTATATTCTTTGCAAGCTCTTGTGGGGCCACATGAAATGAAGTTGCGGGCCGGATTTGGCCCCCGGGCCTTGAGTTTGACACCCCTGCTTTAGATGTATGGGGAGCCGGTTGAGGGGGTCAATGTGCCGTCGACCAATCACAGGAACCCTGTGCAAGGTAGTCTCCTGTAGTTCTACGGTATTCAAATGTATGTAAGTCAGTTTGGATATTAGCGTCAGCTAAAGAACGGTAATGAATCGATATGTTTTAAAGAAGATGTGTTTGTGTGTTACAGTATGTGTGGGTTGCAAACCGACACTAGGACCACATCATTTTTGTAGAGATCTGTTAGTGGATGACCTCATATACAAGGCAAAAGAAAAGAGCCGTGCGTGTGAAGAAGTTTCAATTGACTTCAGATCAATTCTTTCAATTAAAAGAATGAGAAGTGAACTGAAGCAATGTGATGGGGAAGAGGGGAGGGGAGCTGACCCCTGGGTGGAGTTCTTCCTGCCCTGGCTGTAATAAACGGGCAGGGAGGGGGTGGAAAAGGCCTTGGCTCGGCTGCTGAGGGGCTGGGGGCCTACTATCATGTCAAGCCTGCGAAGGAAGGGAACACACATACGCAGATTTACAGACATACATACAATATCACATAAATAAACACAACACACTAAGACACACACAGTGTTGGAGAGTTTAGTCTGAACTGTACTTCACTTGAGTATTTCCGCCATAGCTACTTTATACTCTTACTCCTCTACATTTCAGAAGCCAATATTGAACTTTTTACTCCACTACATTCATCTGACAGCTTAAGTTGATAGTTACTAATACATCAAATAAATAAAACCATAAATAAACTATGATACATCATATGGGTTAAAATATGTGGCAGCAGTTTACTCAGTAATTAAAATGAGCTCCACATGTACCAGCTGTGATGAACATATTAACGCGTCTTACATAAGACACTTAAGTCTTTATAAATGTAACTTTAATCTTATTTAACTATTGTCTTTATTTGAGGGTCTGTACCTGGTCTGCAAGCTCTTGATGCGACACAGCATGTCCAGGTGCCCGGCAGAGTACTGCTCGATCACATCCTTCACATCGTACGGCCGCAGCGTCTCCTTAAACTTCTTCTTGGCGACATGGAACTTCATTATCCTGTAAGAACAGCAGAGGAGTTACCTCCTGTAGACTGTGGCTAATAAAAACACCTTCATTTGTCGGAAAGTGTGCAATGCAAAGAGTCAGAACACCTGAACAAACTCTACATTGAACAGTATATCAAAACATCCAGTGAGGTAGTGGCTAGTGTGCATGTGCGTGTATCAATACAAAAGCTGTGGAGCATCAAGGCAAACATTCAAGAGGATTCAACTGACTTTAAAAAGAATGCAGCTCCAATTACGCTTTTAATTCAGATAATCTCCGAGATTAGGTTTTTAATATGTTTTTGCCTGGGTCTATAAGCATTGAATAATACTTTAATACTATATTATCATGAATATGACCCACCTCACAGCTCTGATGACGGCCTTGACGGGGGGCAGCAGGTCCTCCACTGAGATCTCACAGTGACAGCCCCTCTCATCGTAGCCCTCCTCCCCCGCCATGCTGGAGTCTGCTGCTCAGAAAGAGGACCACAAGGAGAGGAGGGCTGTTAATATCACTGACTTATTCACAAACTACGTTTTTGACTACAGACGTTGGTCCAGGTCCGGCCCTAGACTTTTGGGGGCCCTAAGCGAGCTTTGGCTTGGGGGCCCCCCTCACTCTAGCGCGTTCTCACTTCACACAACACGGAACCAACTTTTGTCTTATGATGTTAGCATAAGCACACATATTGTATAAATAAGCATGTAAACACTGTGGATCTAACATCCTCTAGGGGGGGTCCTCACCTCCGCCAGGAGGGTCCGGGGGCATGCTCCCCCGGGAAGATTTAAAAAAAAATATTTAAGTTAAAAGCATCAATCTGGTGCACTTTGAGAGCAAAATTAAGAGATCTATGGATACATCTCGCAACACCCATATGAAACAGAACTGTAAACAGATTTTTCTTTATGGATATTTTACAAATCACTCCCCTTTCAAACTGTATTCTTGTTTTGTCAAATAGTATTTCATAACTGTTTTTCATTTATTCTCTCTGGCTGTCCATGTCATAATATTCACATAAAAACTAGCTGTCAATAGGAATATCATTCAGAAGAATTATAATTTCATGCAAAAATCTGTCACAAAAAGAGGTTGCACATTTACATTCAGGTGTTGTTATGCGAACGTCAGTTGCCAAACAGCCACATTTACTGCTGCAAATACGTTCAAACATGCTGTCGATAAATAAAGCAGTGGCAACTATGCCACCATTTCAGCTGACTTTTCCTCAGAAATACTGTCACATAACATCCATATATTTCAGTGCTAGGTTGATGCTTAACTATGAAACACTTTAACTGACAGGACTCCGGATCAACTGTGTACTGTAAGCTAGAAGCTTCATGTCGAGTAAGTCAACATTTCCCAGAGAGCTTTCTTTGAAATCACAAGTCAACGCTAAAAAACATTACATTTAGATTGTATGACAAAGTTTTTATTTAATATATCTGGCTAGCTATAGTTACTTGCTAACGGTTTAGCTTACACCCGCGATTCAAAGTAACGTCAATGTAGCTGTAATTTATGCTTTGCTTACATATTCGCATAACTTGGAAGTTTACTGACATTTACATACCTTGTTTACCTGGCTCAAGTGGTGGCTCTGGGGTTGTTGTGTGAGCCACCACTTGAGAATTGTCGTCTTTTTTAAGAAATGTTTTTCTTATGTCCATCTTCAAAAACTCAGAGTCTGACTGACAGTTTAAACATTGTCACAGCTCACAGGATAGGTACCTGTCAGCCAATAAGACAGATGTTTATTTCCATTCAACTCTCTGGTTGGTCTGGTGTCTTGCCTCTGTTGCATTCACTGAACACGGGAAATTCCAATCCTGCCGTCCTCTCTAGTGTCATGATGAAGTTCAGGTAAAGCACAGTTAATGTATTATATTATTGACTCTATAATATAATACATGGTTTTTGAGAGTAGGCAATCTAGGAATAATTAAAAAATTAATTAAACATTACTTATCA